ATTTCCTGAAACTCTTCTGGATGGTCTCCTTGTTTAAGTTGGTAAATACTGCCGTAATCCTTGCCTTCAGTTCATCTTTAATGCTATAAGGAGTTTTCTTGGTCTCTCACTCAACTGTGCTCCACACATAATAATCAAGGGGGTTGTAGTCTGGGGAGTTAGGTGGGCAGATGTAAGGGGTGATGTTGTTGCAAAAATTGTCTGACAGCTAGGACTGGGTTCTTCTGCTTGGTGCAGAATCCTGTTGCCAGACATAGGGTCAACCAGCAGCCACCCACTTGGCCCAATTACCTCCTCAAAGCACTTGATGTAGGCCTCTGTGTTGAGTCTGAGGCCCTCACCAACAAATTTAGGAGTTCTCTTATCAGAACAATCAGAGTGAGTTTTCTGAGCTGCTGTACCTTCATAATCATCATTAGACTCATCCAACTCTTTCTGAAACCAAACATTCTGAAATGTATGCATTGGAGCTTCCAGCACAAATGCCAAACAGTACAGCATGCTGTTTCCAAATTCCAAAGAGTGGATTGAGTCATGATCCTTTAACTTTCATAGATGGTGCCCAACTGACCCTACTATACTATACAGTCAACAAAATCAAAAACAAACAATATGTGTGTGTGTGACAATTTTTAAAATTTTTACTTTGATGTTTCATTGATGAACCAGTGTCATGAGAATTTTATTTCACAAGATCAAAATCTACATTCTCTTTAAGCAGCTAAATGCTTGATTTATACTTAAAATGTATTGTTCTGGAAATTAGATTTTAACTAATTTCAACTCAGTTTTTAGTCATTTATTTTCCTATTTTGCAAGTTTCAACTATTCCTCATTGATTTGTACTAATTTAGTAAGAATATTGAATAGGCTGGTCGGTCCTATTAATCATAAGACATTTGTTGATCATGGCACTTTTAATGCATCTTCATCTGACTAAATTATATTTAATTTTTATTAAAGCAACATTGTCTACAAAGACTTCAGTGGCACATAAATATGTTGATTGTGTGGTTTAATTTTAAATCTGTTTTATGTTTGTATCTTTTTCTCTTTAAATTTCAAGTTGTTTTGCCCATGTTTACATTCTTTTTGGTAAACTCCAGATTTTGATGTAAAATTAATTGTTTACATTAATTAAATTTTTAACTGTTTTTCAAGTGTTTGTGATAATTTTCATAGTGTGATTACTTCAATTTCTTACAAGTCTCTCACTCTCTCTCTCCCTATATATATATATATATATATATATATATATATATTAAAAGAAAAACAGACCACTTTAAGGTTCCATTATAATCATTTATTTCACCAGAGCCCTTTTAAGGGACGCTGGATCCTCAGATAACACTTCCAAAAAAAAAAAAAAACTTTTTTTTTATACAGAACTGTCATATAACCACAGTGGATCGTTTGGTTAGCAAGGTCGATTTTACTGCTTTTAAACTACAATCTTCCATGAATCTCTCACACACATTCATATCTATGGTTCAATTGGTTAAGGCACTTCAGGCTATATGACGGTTCTGTATAGGATACAGGTTCAATTCCTGTCGGAGGATGAATATTTTCTATGAAAATTTCCCGAACATTCAGGCCAGTAAATATCATTAATACTGTTTATTATAAACAGAGCATTTAGTTAAATATTTGTATCTATAAAAAGAATGTATAAACATAAAAATGTCTTAAAATAATTGTCGGACTTTGTCCATTTCATAATATATATATATATATGCCTGATTAGTATCAACTAATTAAGGAGATCAGTATTTTCTCTATGCATAAACATTTGATTTCTAATCCAATAACAGGTAATTATTGATAAAGCATTTTCAAACATTATCAGGATTTGCCATGTAGCAGAGTCATTAACATTCTAAATTTTGTTTAGACATCTTCTTGCTCGATTAGTCCACTATTTTAAATGAAAAAAATATTTTTTATTTGTATCCATTTATCAATTAATATTTTCAAACAAGTTTCTAATAACATCATTTTTTTTTCTTTATAAACCAAACATTTTTTTAACCATTCAGTACATTTTTTAACCAGTTTCCTGGTTTTCTTATATTGACTGACTGAAATATATATTGCATTGAAAAAACAATTCTTTTTCTGTAAGTGAATATTGTATTAATAAGTTTTTGAGAATAACAATCATTTTTCCAAATACAAATCCTACTATTTTATCCATAGCTGTAGGGAATAAATGGATTCATGCCTGTAAGTAAATGTAACAAACCCAAACAAAATTTGAACTTGGCTTTTAGATTTTGCTATATTTTGTACAATTTAACTGAGAGAATATATAATGAAAACCTCTCAATTTAAATTTAGATTAAGTCTGAATCCATTTTTTCCAATATCAAATATTTTAAAATCAATCATTATAATTTACTTTACAATACTGTCTGTTAATTGATAATATTAGACAAAAAAAGAGAAGAAAAAAGTCCTGACAATATATTTAACTAAATGCATTGTAAACAATTTCAATATACTGTAGAAACCGGCAATACTCTTCCCTCCAAAACTCAGGGTTCATTCATTTGGGTTTTTTATATTCATAATGTGATACACTTGTAACAATATGATTTCTCACACATCTTTAGAAGATAAGGAGACACTTTCTTTTAAGTCCACTTAGTTATTTGAGTTTTGTTGGAATTTTGTCTCCAGTCCATCTTTGAGTAAATTTAAATGTCAGTATTTTGGGGGATTTATGTCTACAGCTGCCTTTGAATTGGGAAACATAAAAATCTTATAAATGATTTTAGATAGTCATAAAAGTAGTCCTTTGAAGATTTGATCCCCCATGTGGCTTTGGAGTGGTCCCAAATCTTCCGGAAGACAAGTGAATGGAGGGGGTGGAACCCCAGGATTATCCATATAAGCAGAGAGAGGCAGAAAATCAAGGGAAAAGTGGGTCCAGCCATGAGAGAAGTAAGTAGGTGACCACAGGAGTTGGAGCTGCCCAGTGGCCAATGACAGAAGGACCAGTAGTGAGGAATCAGGAGTCACTGAGGCCAGTTAGGAAAATAGCAGCCCATCTCTCAAATCTGAAGGAAGTTCAAGTGAGAAATCATAACATTGTTACTTCCCAACAAGAGTCTTGAAAAACAATTGTCTTCATTTTTTTGTTGAAAGCGATCACAGCCAAGAAGACAAACCTGGGCACATAGTGAGTTGGATGCATATGCTAATACACTCAACCTTGGATGTCATCACAGCTGCAGTGAGTAACGAATGATCAGAGAACATCATCACAAAACTCGTCACTATTTTGCCACAAATGGCATCACACTATGGACTCAAACATGGACACCTATGTAGAAAGGGAAGAGTTGGTTTTATCTCAATATCAAATTTTTCTATTTGATAGAGCAGTAGATGGTTCCTTTTTAAGTTCAGTTTTTCTAAAAGGCATCCACTTTAACCAAAAGGAAATAGGAACAAGAGGGGGATGTGGGATTTTCAGAGACCAATTGGCAACAAAACTGTAAATAGCATATATCTGGGTGCTGGTTTATATTAATACTCATGCTTTGGATTAGGAAGAGTTCTAATATTTCCTTAGTGGGAGATGGACATGTCCATCATGTTAGTTATGAGGCCTCCATTTGTATTGTCAATCTAACATGTTGGGTGTGGAGTTGGTTGAAGGAAGAGTTGACATAGCAGAAGTTGTCCCAAATATTACCTACTTACCCACCTGGATGAGCAGGTGAAGATCTGAATAAAACTACATGTAATATGGTGATGTAATGGAATAACCTGTCACTCCCATGAGTAACTACACTATAGGTAGTAACTACCTATAAGTATCTGTAAGGCAACAGACTACGAGTGACTTGCTGAGATCATTTGAGTACAACTCAAACTTATGCAAGAAGTACCAAACTTCCAATAGCAGCACTCACTACTGGATTGACTTGCGACGATCGTTCACATAACTGTTACCTTACTTCTTATTGTACTGGTTTTACAATAAACCTTTATTTATTTAACCACCATGCAGTGGCATAGCTAGAGTAAACGTTACCCGGGGTGGTCCGCTCAAATGTCACCACAATGACCCTGATTCACCCTATGCTGAATGGTTAGCTGTAGCTAAATTTTCATACATGCTCTACTTCTACTTTACTGTTTACATGTATGATCCAAGACAAAATCCAATACCACAAAATAATCAGTTCAAATCAAAAGCTGAAAACATTGCTATTTTTCCTACTCATAAATTTCCCGACAATTAGAAAATTTCTGACAGGGGGACAAAACTGGGGGGTCATAAATTATTTCTGGGGAGTCATATGCCCACCTGCAAAACCCTGTGTCTCCACCACTGTTTTCAGACTATTTTTGGCACCTTAGCCTGGTTGAAAAATTTTCTTGGGGGTGACATTGTGTGGGAAACAGGGTTTGCCTTTTTATTTCTCAACATGGCATTTGTCTTTCATCATGTTAGCATGCAGCATGCTCTTCTCCCAGTTTTCAGTGTACATCAACAAGAGTAAGAATCAGAATGCAACATGGTGTAATCATTGGCCAATTGATGGAAAGCTTAGGCAAGTGTCATGTTGTATGTTTACAGTAATAGTTTACAGCTTTTGAGTAGTAGTAGTAATGTAGATGTTTTTCAATTTAAATTCCTTATTAATGTATGTACTAATTTAACATGTTCTACCGAATTCCAAAGACTAATTCTACAGCCCCCTGTTTCTAAATATATTCAAATCTTGTAATGAACCTGTGCTTTATTTCTTCACTATAAAAATGTTAAGCTTTTCTTTTCAACAAAACAGACTGCAAAATTTAATTATTGTACACAATATAAACTTAAATTCATTTAGGGTCAAAATCTACTTTTTAAAAACCAACACATGATGACCATTACATTTGTGCCAATGGGCCATAAACTTAATTCCTTTTAATGTTCCATCCCCAAAGTAACCATTTTTTCCCTTCATGAAGACCAAGTACTATTTTTTAACACTCACCTGTTTGCAGTCAGGAAGAGCTTTTTTAGGTTTTGACATTTCTGCAGGAGTTCAATAAAACATCCAGAGCTTGATATCACAGAAGAACTGAAACAGTTATAAAAGATTAGGAAATTATAACAGTGACAACTTTAGTATGAGGAAACAAAAACAATGATCAGATTATAATTATGTTTGTTACATTAGTTAACATGTGTATTATGCACTGCCATTACCTCAGATAAATAATGGACCATTCTATTTTGGTCATGAGAAACATTTGAAGATAAATAAACTGATAGAGACACTGTCAGTTTTATTGAGAAAAAGAAAGAAAAAAGCTTTTAGGAGCCTTATGTCTGCTTCAGTGAAACAGAAATAATGAGAGAAATAGAAAGATACAGAAGAGAGAAAGAAACAAATTGTAACAGTAAAATGAACATATTATTCTTGTCTTTTATAATCTGACTAGCAGTAGAGCCCGGCGTTGCCCGGGGATGTAACAGTAAGAGATAGATCAAGTATCGACCATCATAAAGACTGAAAAATAAAACTGACAAAGATTATTGTTTAAGGTTGACGGACACGCATGTCTTAATTATTTTTTTTGTTTTTTTTTTATGGATTGGTCAAACTCAAACAAAAACATTGTTTTCAATCATTATGAGTCTATCGATTGAATAGAATTTTATTATAAACAATTGACTTGTAAATGGAATTTTTAAAGCATTCTGAATGTAAGAATAAAGAAAAAAGTGTGCAAGACAATAAGAAACACTACCTGCCAAAAAAAAAAAAAGTGAAGTTTTGTTGAAATCGGTTGAAAAATGTAGGAAATCCGATCCCATATATAAATGAACACACACAAACAACCTGGGTTTTATAATAACTCGATATGAGTTGTCCCCCTTTCATTCTGGCGACAGAATTGTTTTATCGTGTTTTCAAATTGATTTTGTGCAAAAACAATTGTGTTTTTCCAATTTTTGGTGCTGTCAGAACCATCGCAAGGTAATATTACGTAGTCCTGTAAAGTTTTGTTGAAATCGGTTGAAAAATGTAGGAAATCCGATCCAATATATAAACATACAGACACACACACACAATCTGCATTTTATAATAAGTAAGATGTATCAATTGTGTTATAGAGTAGCTAGCACCCCTTCAGCACTCTACCAGATGGACTGGCTCATAGCCTTAAATAGTCTACGATTAAGGACTTCCACAGTTGATTAATAAGTTGATACTAAGCTGATTAATATTTGAAGTGATCTTACTTTGTTTGGTTATACAGCATTTGACCCTCCTCTATTCCTTGTAAGTTGTCTTGTTAATTGTTTTGTAACTTATTGTTCTGTGTTTTTTGTATGTTAGCACTGGATACTGGTGCTGAATAAATATATAAAGCACTCATTCTTCTCTGTGTATCATTCACCTTGATGATACAACAAATTGAATTTTTTTTGAGATAATAATGCTTTGCTGATAGAAATCCTAATAATTAACCAATAGGTGGGGAGAGAAGAGATGGATTCATAACCTTTTCCCAGGGTATTTACACATAAGTGAATGTAATGAACCTGACTGGAAATTTCAATTCCAAGCTATTATCCATTACACCACCTGCATATCCAAGTTTACAGAACTGGTGTTTTAATGTAATATGGCCATAAGATATGATTTATCTAATGTATCTTTTAAAATATTAAGTTTTTAAGCTGTAATATTTAATGATACAATATTTGGAATATCCAACGTTATCTTATAGTCATGAAAATTACAAGGAATGTATTTCGCCATTAAGTTAAAAATTATGACTCATGAGAAAATTCGAAAGAGTGAAATTTTCATAGGTACTCGTAGTAGTTGATTAGACAATAATTCAGCTGATCTGTTTGGCTCAAATCTAGAAAAGGGAAGTGAAATTTGAGATTTTGTCATTTTTGGCATGCAGAAAGTAAGTACCTATCATTATGTATAAAAATTCTCCTGTCAAATCAAGCATAAAATAACTGTTGGGTCCTTCGATAGTGACTCTTTGTGTATAGTCAGGCAAAGATTCTGTGTTGGGGTATGATGGAGAATGATGACATCAAACAAAAGCTGGACATGAAAAGCAACCTGACAGTCATTGTAGCACAGCTGAGATGGTATGGGCATGTCAGGTGCATAGATAATTCAAGAATCCCAAAATGATGGTACAATTGAAAACCAACCACCAGGAGGCCAGTAGAATGTCTCAGGAAAGATAGATCCAAAGCATCACTGAGGCAGCAGAGTAACAAAGGTCCACCATAGCAGACATAAAAAGGGTCAAGCTATTTCAAGACAGAAGAACTTGGATGTACTTCTGGGCTGACCAGTCACAAGAACTACTTGGAGTTAGTATATGCATGCATGAGCTGGTCTAAATTTTTTTCAGGGTAATTAAATGACAAATCATTTGTTGCTATATGATATTTTAAATGCAAAATCTCCATTATCTCAATTTGCAAGAAAAAAAAACTTTATTCCTTATCCAGAAAAGGGCAGTGTTATCCTCATTTTGGTAGTTTTTATATTCAATATATTTCAATTGCTGTACTCTACACTGTGGAGTAGGATAGGAGGTACTGTCATACATGAGGAACTGTCCTAAAGGGTACACTGGCAATGGAGCCAGACTAGAATTCTAGTTCTGTTGCCAGGGTTACCCTCTAGGATTGGTCTCAGAAAATCAAGACTCCACATTATGCCAAGTCTTGCAGGGGATGTGGAAGGACCCAGTGGGTCAAAGGATAGAAAGGGATGTCTGGCAGCCAAATTAAGGTGCTTCAATTGTGGATTGCTGAGGCATATGGAAAGGGTTTGTCAGAAACTTGAAAAAGGCATCTGCCAACAAATCAATGAGAAGTGTAACAAAACATGATTGACACATGGATAATTCCAGCAAGGTGATGTGCCAATCTGTACAATTAAAATGAAGTGGTAGAGCCAACACAACACAACAAAAGACTATGCCCCATGTAATCTGGGACGTAAGCAGGTTTTGAGCAGGAGCTCTGGAACCACTGCCATCTTTAACAGTGGAATCAGAGTCCCACACTGAATTCAGGTATGTGCCAATGAGCCTGGATAGATAAGCACCCACCAAATTGTCGTTATTGTTGAGACCGGGGCAGTCTTGCTCAAGCAAACAGGAGATACAAAAGATTCTCAAATGCCCAGACAAATATCTTGGGCTGTCAGGTCATAGGATACATGGTATAACAGATGACCAGTTATACATAAAACGCATACTATTCACACACATCAGGGTTGGCTCAAAGGAAATGCACCAAACTGACCACTATCACAATTCCTCATCATTGGAAAAAGAGGGTCAAACAGGATATTTACCGGGATGTTGCACTTGGCATCATTAAACCAGTACTAGTTGGTACCCCTACAACTTGGTGCTCAAGAATGGTGGTTACACCAAAGAAGGACAGACCACCCAGATGTATGGTGGAGCTACAGAAACACAATGCCGCCACTATAAAGGAGATGCACCATACTCCATCCCCTTTTAATCAAGTTTCGATGGTACAAGCACACACATAAAACTGTGCTAGATGCATGGAATGGATACCACAGCCTCCTATCACCAGCTGTGTGGGACGCTACTATGTTCATTACCTAGTGGGGAAGATACCAATACTTCTGAGAGAGAAATCAAGCAATCCAAAAATGGAGAGAGAAATCAAGCAATTCAAAAATAGAGAGAGAAACTAAGCAATCCAATAATGGGGAGAGATAAATTAAACAAACTAAAAATGAAAAAAATTTGAGTAATCCAAAAATGGAGAGAGAGAGATTGAGCAATCCAAAAATGGAGAGAGAAATTGAGCAATCCCAAAATTGAAAGAGAAATTGAGCAATCCAAAAAGATAGAGAGAAATTGAGCAATCCAAAAATGGAGAGAAAAATTGAGCAATCCAAAAATGGAGAGAGAGGGAAATCAAGCAAACTAAAAATGGAAAAAATTTGACCAATCCACAAAGTGAGAGAGAAATCGAGCAAAAAAAAAAATGAAAAAAAATTCGAGCAATCCAAAAATGGTGTGAGAAATCAAGCAATCCAAAAATGGTGAAAGAAATATAGCAATCTGAAAATGGTGAGAGAAATCGAGCAATCAAAAAATGGAGAGAGATTATTGAGGAATCCGAAAATGGTGAGGGAAATCAAGCAATCCATAAATGGTGAGAGAAATTTGGCAATTCAAAAATGGAGAGAGAAATTGAGCAATCAAAAAATGGAGAGAGAAATTGAACAATGCAAAAATAGAGGGATAGAAGTTAAGGGAACTAAAAATGCAAAAAATTTGAGCAATCCAAAAATGGCGAGAGAAATTGAGTAATTTAAAAATGAACAGAGTAATCGAGTAATGGCAAAATGAAGAAAGAAATTGAGCAATCAAAAATAGAGAGAGAGAAAAAAACAGTCAAAAAAAAGAAAGAGAAATTGACCAATCCAAAATGGAGATAGAAATCCATTACATCACAGGCTTGCTTGTCTAAGCTTACAGCACCTTGTCTTCCCTAGTAGTCACCCATCTAGATACTAACCAGGCTTGATGTTGCTTAACTTCAATAATTGTAGTGGAATCGGGGTTTCAACAGGATATAGCTGTAAGCCAAGGTACCAAAGAGGAAATCTCATCAGAATAATTGCCATGAAAATATTTATAAAAAAGACACAGGGAAACTATGCTATGATGGTGAGAAAGTGACTGAACTGAGGTGTCAAAACTGATAACATTGTAGATCCTTTTTCAGATTCTTGAAAATATCCAAAGAATCTGCAATGCTATTGGATACTTTTTTGTATGGTATGAATAAATTGAATGATATAATATCTCACTTGTTGGCTATTGTGGCATGTAAGGGCTTCCTTAATTTGCTCAATTCAGAAGTAGCAGCAATGGAAATAACCATCAAGGTACAACTGGAAATCCCAGAACCCATAAAAATGCTGATCGAGCCCTATTCGGTCTCTTTTTCACTTTTCCTTTTCAGCAGCCACCACCTCCAAGGCCCAGCTTGAAGGGCTACTCACAATCCTTGCTGCAGAAGACATGTGGCCTGTCAGGGCAGTTTGATTCAGATTTCTTATTCATCATGGGAACAAGCAGAGAAATCTCTCTCTATGAAACATCTACTCAAGAGAAGAACTTTGTTAACTGGGAAACCCAACCCTTTTTCCCGCAAAATGCCAGTATTTTGTACTATCTCTTTCAACCACAAATAAAAGCTGTTTAACAGTTATTTTGTGCCTTGGGTTTTGTTCATTCCACACTAACCGCCAAGCATGTACACACGTACAGACAACTGGGAAAAATTCCTACAATAAGGAAGGTGATTTGACTGCCATTCAGTAAAATCTTTATAAGGAATAGATGAAAAACTCTATAACATAAGCATTCACAGACAGTTATTGTTTGACCTGGGCACTTTCTTGTGTTTGTATGATTTTTAAGATAAGTTATTTTTGTGGTAAACCCTCTTACAGTATAATGAACTCTTCCTTCTCTCATAAATACAAACTGCAAGAGTCAGACAGGAGCACAGAGTGTGAAGTGGAGTGGAGTAGTAGACGCAGTGCTAATCTACTTATTACTAACACTATTGTTTTGTATATATTTTCAATATACTTTTTTCAACCGACCTTCGTCTTCCATGTCTTTCTTTCTGGCCCCTAAACAGGCCACAACAATTATCTAAAACAATAGTTCATACAACAAAATCCTCAAGTAAAAAGTTTGATAGAGAGATGGAAAATTGAAAAAACTCTTGCCATAAAAAACAAATTAAGAGAAATAAAAGATTTATTATTGAATTAATCTGATTTGCTTACCACCATCCTAAGTCCAGTTCCTCAAGGTTTGTGTTATTATTTATCATGGAAAACAAACCAGTATGAGTAAGAGAACGTGCTCGCCATAAGTCTACACATCGCATATTTCTGAAAGAGACAGAAAGCACAAATTTATTGACATTGTTGAGTGGACTCAATTTGAATGACCCTTGCATGTTTTTTTAATGCAAAAGTTTTTCTTATTTCACTTTACATAAAAAGTAGAATACGTTTTAGAATTTACAGGAATATTTACATATAGATTACGACTTCAGTCGAACATCAAAGTGTAGTATCTGTGTAGTTAATGGATGCCATGATACTTCTTTCAGTAGCAGATACAGAATGTGGAATGCCAACCCTACATCTGGGTGTTTTTGTCGAGACACCATCTGTAGAAAAACTGCCATGCAAGGCTAAAGACTTCTTTTAATCCATGAGGTGAATTATCTTGTGCCAGACACCAACTTGGAATTTGAATTTCTGCTGACTGTCTTAGAGATTCCAGCTCCAGACTTGTCCTTGGGGTTTACACCTGAAGCCTTTCCCATGATTGCGTATGGCCACAAGGCAGTGGAGGTTTAAAATCAGCATTTTTCTTCTCTTAGATGAACTACTCTCTTGAGCTGATGTATTTCATCTACTTGAAGTGTATAAATACACACATACACATATATATTTAACATTGTATGTTGGAATAAACAGTTCACCATCAAATGTACCACATGTTTTATTATATATATTATATATTTTAAAAATAATAATAATAATAAATAATAAAGGTATCAAAGTATAAAATTATCATCAAATATATGAGAACATTTTATTATTTTTGTTAAAAATATTTGATAGATAAATAATAAAACAGATTGACCAATAGTAAACGAATCAAAATATCGTTATGACTTAAAAAGTTTTTCCAACAAGTTTGAAAATATGTCCTTGTCTATAAAAATGTTACTTTATAATTATAAATAAGAAAACAATAAAAATATCAGGTGCCCCAAAAAAATTTTTGATGATTTTTGTTAACTTATTTCTGGGCCAGCTGTTTAGTTACTAACAAGCATAAGTATACAGGAAGCAACTTGTATTGACAAGTACATTGTTGAACGATTCAGTTATTATTTTATTACATAACTAATATAATTTTATTTCTCAGTTCAGAGCCCCCAAAATGACTGATAAAAAATTGATAATTTGTGCTTGTCTGTTGTATGAGTTTAAACTTGGTACAAGTGCATCATATGCTTCTCATAGGCTATGTATAGCCTTTGGCGAAGGTGCAGTAAGTGAACGAACTGCACATAATTGGTTTCAGAAGATGAACCTCGAGCTGGACAACCAATATCACTAAACAATGATGATTTAAAGGCAGCTATAGAATCAGATTCAGGTTTAACGTGTCGTGAACTCACTTCGAAGTTTAATGGTTTAAGCAGTGAAACTATAAGACTGCATTTGCACCAGCTGGGGGAAGAAATGGAAATTAAGCAAATGGGTATCATATGACTTAACACCAGCAAAGAAACTGCAGAGGCTTACCATATGCACTTCTCATTGTAGTAGACTAACAAAAGAACCCATTATTGATTGAATTATGACATGTGATGAAAAGTGGATCATGTATACAAACTCTAAGAGGAAACATCATTGATTATCACCAGGTGATACAAACTTCAAAGTCACCACTATTCCAAAAAAAACTTTTGCTGTGTGTTTGGTGGACATGTCAAGGAATAATTCACTATGAGTTTTTAAAAACAGGTGAAACCATTACTGCTAACAAATATTGCAAGCAACTTGAACAAGTTCAGGAAAATTTGTTGAAGAAACAGCCTGCATTAGTAAACAGAAAACAAGTTTTGTTTCTCCAGGACAATGCTCGCCAACATATTGCAAAAATGACCCTTGCCTAGTATAGCAGAGCTAAAGTGCTACATCCAATGTATTCACCAGATTTCCAACAGATTTTCACTTGTTTTTAGGCTTAGATAATCATATGAAGAACAGGACATTTAATAATGAAGATGACTTGAAAACGAAAGTGCATAACTTTTTCCAAAGTAAAACTAAGGAATTTTGCAAAAATGGCATTACTCAGTTGTTGAACAGTTGGGAGAAGGTCATAGAATGTGATGGTTCATATTTTGATTAATAAATACATTTAAGACTTTAAATATGCATCTTTAATTTCCTTTATAAAAATTGGCAAAAACTATTTTTGGGCACCTGATAAAATTATAGGCATATGTTGTTAAAAATATGTTTGAATTATAAATGATTAAGAAATAGACAATCTTGAACCAATAGTCAAATATAAATAAACATTACAACTCTGAATGCTTTTCTTATGGTTTCAAAAACTATGTTCTCCTTCATAAAAGAGAGAAATGCTACACTTAAATACAAACAAGGTAGAATCCTTCATGCCAATGTATAAGTAATTTAACAAATACAATGTATCAAATGTTCTTAATATAATAATTAAAAAATATAGCATTCATAAATTTTTTATTTTCTTAAAAAAATAAAGCATTAGGAAATCAGTCAGTCAGTTATGTGCCATGCGTGATACATGCTTAGGCAATCATGTATCTTTCAATACATGACTGATGAGGTAGATTTTTTCCAGCAGTAGGTTGCTATTTCTTTCTGCGGTAGACCAGTTGTCATCCAAAGCTATAGAACCTGGTCTGTCCTGCTATTTACCCATAGCTGGGTAAAGGTGAAGAAGAGGATTCATACCTTTCCCAAGAGTATTAGAACGTAACTGAATGTAATGGATTTGTCTGGAATTTGAACTCAGCTCTCTGATTCCCCAATCTGAGCCACTAAACATTACTCCACCATGCCTCCTATTGGGAAATCAATTGACTGAAATTGCCTGAAGATACTGAAAGGTTGAAACCAAGGTAGTGAAATCAGCTGATCTCTTAATTTTATATGTATATATTCAAGTACTTTCATTTAAAAATATGATGGAATAGTTGACCAGTCAGTTCATTGTTATTGATCATGATATACAGTACCAATTTTTCTTTGTTACGACTATTCAGTAGGTTTTGTAACAGATGTAATTTTTGCAGAGTATCTGTTATTAAGCAGTGTTTAGCATACTTGATTTCTAGGGTGTTTGTTGCTTACCAAGTGCTCCATAAATAAGACATTGTATCAAGGTTGACTTTATTCAACATATATTTACAAAGCATTAAAATATTTATAAAGTTTTTAAAGTTGAATTGGAATCTGCTATACTAAAAATAATAGCAGTAGAGTGTTGGGTTTGTATGCTTTTGGTAAGCCATAAAGGCTATGTGTTATTGAGTGGTATTCTATTAATTGGCAAGGTTTGTTTTGTTTTCATTTTTTATTTGCAGTAAAAAAAAAAAAGTATGGCTGTTTGTTGTACCAATTGTGCTCTGTCTTTTCAATCACAATCAGTGAGACTACTACAAAACTTCACACACAAGGCACGACCACTTAGCTCCTTGGCATCTGCAGCCTTTCTGATGTTCTCTTGCTCATACTCATTTTATTGAGGGGCTAAGGCTTGGATGTGTACATAAGCCACAAATTCATCTTGAGCTCCAAGATCGAGTTGTTTTTAAATGGCAGCTTTTAGATCACCCATATTTTCTTCAATGTATTTTGCATGTGAGACATGTATGGCCACATTTTGTTTCAGGATGTAAGATGTTTTCCCTTCTACACTCCTCCCTGATCTCATGATCACATAAACAGCAGAGACATGATGGTTTCCTTTGATGAGTGCTTCTTTGTAAAGTTGGATGGGGTTTATCAATCTCTTCATTTGTCTCCATAGGTTCTCTCTCATTCTCAGCATCATCATTGTGATCTTTCAACTCTGATAAATGAATATGTCATGTCTTTTAGTGTGTAGAGTAGAAAAGTGAGGTTGATTCTCATTGGTTTACAATGAGTGAATTAATTATAATTATATTTTTGTTATAATTATATTTATTATAATTATTTTATAACACTACAATTAAATTTTATTTATTTATTTTTTATGGACATGACAAACTATTCTATTTTGATTGAATGGAAAGACATATCAGAGGTGCTACTTGGTTTCAGTGAGAAAATGAAAGAAAGAAACAAGGGAAGATAGAAGAGATAATAACACTCTTGTGTGTTTAACATATTTTTCAGTGTAATGGAAGAAGTTGTCAATTTCAAATCTTTTCATTTGTACCCTATTACTTCTTTAAATAGCAACCAGCATTCATATTTATGATTGTTATTGCAATATTTTGTTAAAGTTGTTAAGCTCAAATATTTAACGGAATAAGGGAATTTCTATAAAGATATTTTATTGTCATAGAACTATAAGCTTATTCAATTATTAACTTAAGATTCATCAAAAAATTGGGAAAAACTGACATTTTCAGAAGTATTTCTAGGAAATAAGATTTGACTGGGTGACTTCATAATATCTGTTTCCTTTTTCTTTTTTAAGTAAATTAATACTGAAACAATGTGGGATATTTAAACCATAAAAAAAGGTTTATATATTTACTATAAGACTGATGTCCTCATCTTTGTTATGACTACAACCTTTGGACCATTGAGCTCTTTGGCCTTCTGTAGGTGTCTGTTGATTCAGGTAACCTTCAATGAATTACAAACTGAACCTTACGTTCTATCTACAAGAGGACACTGTTCTCATTCTTCTACTGTCCATGTTGTGAGATATCTCATCTTGGTTAATTTTTCAGTTATTACTAGTCTGGTTTCCACTGAGTCTAAGTATACAACAGAAATCACATCACTTGAAGAGTTCCACTAGCAGCAACAACTAAAATAGATAGCACTTGTAAGTTAAAGAGAAAATAACGGCATAACCAATATGTTGACTCTACACATCACCTTAAACAAAAGGTTAGGAAGGAATCTCCCATCAAAACTAGAAAAAGAAAAAAAAATTAGTAGATTTAAGAACCCTATTTTCCTGAAAAAAATATTTTAAGAGTTTATAAATTTCAACTAACAGTAACACTAATGGTTTGATCAATGAATGCTGAATGTTTCCTTATAAGGAAACAGATAATTTCACCATTACCATTTGAATGATAATTCTCAAAGGAGAATATCACAGGCAATGTTGTAAGCTTCTGTGCTCATTTGACATTTTCTCTGAAGGTTGTAGTTTTTATTGTTTTTAATCATATCACCCCAAGCAAAGCAATAAAAACACTAAGACACAAGGGGTTACTGAATATGAGAGAATATGAGAAAAAAAAAAACACTATTAAAGAGAGAAAACAATAAAATAATAGAAATTAAGAAGACAGAAGATAATGATTGACACTGTATTTAAATTTTTGAAAATCAAAGTTAACTGGGAAGAAAGAAGCTGCAAGAGAAGAAACTGTTAACATAGAACTCATGGTTACATTTAGTCATTTTAACTATAAAATGATGAGATCTTGCCACCAATCTAGTACTGGGCTTAAATTCAGAAAGTCTATGTACCATGGAGGAAAGTTAATCAGAACAATTACCATGAAAGTATTTATAGAAAAGGCACTAGGAAGTCATGTTACATCAGTGACTGAAGCTGAACTGCCAGGTCAGAACCAATAACATTGCAGATGTTTTTTTGTATTTTATCAAGAATTTCTAAATACATAGCAGAAGCACCAGACCAGATGTAGCAGCAATATTCAAAGTGGCTGTAAATTGATCAGTGTAGTGGAACAGATCTGACTGTTGCATAATGAACACTGGCCAGCTGCCAGATAAACAATATTAGCCCATATGGGGCTGTTAAATGATCCCAAGATTGAAAAATACCCTATACATTACCTCTTTGAATGGAGACATTTGGGGTGGTATTGTTATTGCCATCATCCCCTTCATCTGAATAATGATTAGATAACACATCAGCATAAAAATACAGACTATTAACATTTTTGGAACTATCAAAATCTTCATGATCTTTGTGATCAAAAAATTCCTCATCAGAATGTTCATTTACATACTCCTGTGGCCATACAGGTTATGGCATACTTTGGCTAGAGTGATTTCCCTAGTGGAAAAAAGAAATAAAGGTATATTCTTCTTTATTAGAACTACCCGATCTAGGCTGGTTGATATTAATTTTACTGTTTAAGAAAATAAAAAGCAGGGATATCTAATGAGATATGTGTACCCACTAAAAATAGACTTTATAGTAATACAGGGTGCAACAGAAATACCTCTCACATAATTTTAAGACATAAACTAGATGAAGACACCATTGCCAATATTCTTTTTCTTTTTATGTGCCACTTCCTTTCAGGATGTAGGAGATCATGGCTCTCCACTGCCCTCTATTCCTTGCAGCTCTCAATAAGTTCCTTCCGTCTGCTTCCTCCTCCAGACCATGTTCTGTCATCCACTTGCTTAAGCCCACCAGATATGTCATGCATTGTTTTCCTTTGTTTCTCTTTCCCTCTTGTCAACCTGTGAGTATCAGATTCTCCAGGCCCTCCTTCCTCATTATGTGTTTCAGAAACTTCAGCTGCCTCTTCCTGATGTTAAGTATAAGCCTCCTCCTTGTTTGCAACCTCTCTAAGACCTCATCGTTGCTCACACAGTTGGTCCATGATATCCTTTGCACCCTTCTGTAAAACCACATCTCCGTTGCCTCGAGCCTCTTCTTCATCTTTGAGGAAATCATCCAACAAATCATCCGTAAAAAAAGGACAGATGTCACATAACAGGATAGTATTCTTTTCTTTGTTACCAAAGAAATCCTTCTGTCTCGCAATACTCTGCCCAGCTTTTGGAATGCGTCCTTCACCATCCTAATACGTCTATGGATCCCAGTGTCACATCCTCTGTCAAAACGCTTCTCAGATATTTAAATTTCCGTGTCTGTTGGATTCTAGTGTTCCCATTACCTTACTATTATGTGGGAGATATTTCTGCCACACTGAATAATTTTGATTTTTTACTACCTTTATGTAGGTATTTTTTGTAGTTATTCAAATATGTCTCTTTGCTTGATTTTCCACATGTTTAATTGAATAATTTGTTTTTTATGACTTGTGGGATATTTAATGCTGAGACATATTGGATTGAAAGAATAATAATAATCTTTTTGCAAGTGAATTGCATTAACAATTTTGTTGGGAACAACAATGATTTTTCCAGATACATGTCCCTCTATTTAAGCCATAGATGGGGATTTCTACCAGTCAATGATTATTTTGTTTTTCCACATCACAAGAAATTCATCTCTTGTTGTCAACCTGTATATGAAAACACTATGCTGTTATTAAGAGGTTAAAGGAAGGTATTCAGTGTAAATTAAATGACTGGGTTGTTCACATCACAACTCACATCACAACTGGCCTGATCTAACTCCCTGAAAATTTTACCTATTGTGCAATGTGAAAACCTCACCTGAAAGGGCACCATTTTCACATTTTTAAAATATCCAACTGGAATCCCAAGTAGTACTTGGCACAGTCACACTCAGTGACTTCTTCCTATGCATGTAATCTTGGAAAAACTGCCGTGATCACTACATACATTCATGGGTGGACAAATTGAAGGAGACAATGGAAAGTAAATGTTTGGGTAAATAATCATTTATCAGTGAAATGAATATTGCTGCCATATCAAATCTGGTGCTTCAGCTATATATTTAGAGATTCTCAACAAAATCCAAAGGGGTTACTTTCCCACTGTTTTGATGTGTCGACCCTCTGTCTCATTAGAACAATTGCCATTTCTTTCTTGATACTTTGACTATGAATTTAAGCATATTATAGATTCACAAAATGGTCTCATTGTTTTTACTGTTGAATTAGATAGATATAAACATAAGGTCTATTCTAATAGTTTCTTTTCTCACACTTTTCACCTGTGGAACTCTCTTCTGATTTTTTGTTTGCCTGCCTCCTACAATCTTCAAAAAGTTAAATTCAACATTAATTGTAATCTTCTGTCTTTCTGAATCCAGCTCTTTTATTGCAACCTCTTCTTTTATTGTCCTCTATCGTCACTAAAGTTTTCTCATCCTCTTCCACTCCCAGTAACATAATTGCAGCCTGTTCTTTTATTGTCCTTTATCGTTCTCATTCTCTTCCCTTGCATCTTTGTGGTATTCTTTTGCTTAGGGGAGAAATGATTATAAAAAAAAAAAAAAATTTTTCGTTGCTAAATTCTCTGAATTTTTCAGTGGAAACACTTGAAAAATGATTGGCCTTGAAATAAAATGTTAAGGTAAAAAAAAACACCCAAAAACAAAAACAAATAGTGTCTTATTTAACTCAGGCAGAACACATGAACTGACTTTGATGAGTACATTACCTGCAGTGTTGTGCGATGTGATCAGCTACTCCATCAAACTGATCAATTTTGGAACAGCAACCCAGGTTCAGAACTTCCAGCTGGGGATTATATCTGTAGAGAAAAGATCCAACAACATGTAAGAAGAAAATTCAAGCGAGAGATATATTTTTGGAAAAAAAAAACAAAAGAAAAAAAACAATGAAGGCAGTCTGTATATAGAAACTAAAATGTCAAAATTTATAGGTTCAGCTAAATAATTTAGACATGATATGCCTATCTAATTTGAATTTAAATCAGAATACTGCTATGTGCAGTAAAACGAACAGCAAGTATGTTTTGAATTTACAGAACCATGTATACACATTCACAAAAAATTTAACCCCCTGAAAATGGTCTCAAATATGTCCATAAATGTGAAATGAATAACAGATTAAAATTATCAGCAAATGTTGTTAAAAATGTATGCATGATAAATGATAGGGAAAGAAATCAACAATACTGAACCAATAGTCAAAGATAAAACAAAGATTATGATTTGAAATATTTTTCCTACAATTTAGAAAATTATGTTCTCTATTATAAAAAGAGATATGTTATGATTAACTATAACTAGAGTAGAATTAGTCATGCCAATGTATAAGTAATTTAACAAATACAATGTATTAAATGTTTTGAATAATTCTTAGTGATAAAATTCTTAATAAAGCAAACTTGCCAAATAACACTTATTTTAAAAATAAAACAAGCGATGTATATCTCGACTTATCTTAAAAAGATAAAATAAAAACATTTATTCAGGTTTCATTGAATATAACCAACAAGGAATATTTTGTAAGTTTTTTATTAAGTTTTTCTTTTCTCCTTAAAATTTTCCTTTTCTGAAGGCTGTGTGTGGATGAAAACACTATGGATAATTCCTTTACACACTTAATCTTCAAAAAAGAAAAATTGTAAGGAAAACTGAATTAAAAAATTAGAAAATATTCTTCGTCATATTCAATGAAACATATATATATATATATATATATATATATATATATATATAATCATAAAAGCTTATTCTTTTTGACATTTTTGTCTGTCATATTCCATGAAACACACACGCACACATATATGTGTATATGTGTGTGTATGTAAATCACAAAAGCTTTGTTCTTTTTGGCATTAGATGGCTTTAGAAAATATTTAGTTTTAGCTTCATTTGAAAAGGTCAACTTTGACTGCATTGTGACAGCTGTTATATCATTGGGCATTTTTCAAAAAAGTTAAATTTGGTGTATTTTTATTGATTCATTCTCACCTTGGAGATGAAAGAAAATAACCAACAGTTTCAGAATAATGGGCCTTTTTGTTTATTACCTGACAAGGGATAACTTATTTTCCACTCTATACCTTCCATCCTACAGACACAATATTGCAGGCTAATGCACACATCATGCTGAAACACTGGTTCTCATACAATTCGCAAAGTTAAGCAATGCTGAGCCTGGTCAGTACCTAGATGAGTCACCACTTGGGAATGTCAAGTGCTGTGGTTGGGTGACTCAGAATTGTGAACTGGAGAGCCAAGTTACAATTCCAGTTGGATTCATTATATTCACTTATGCACAAATATCCTTGGGAAAGGTATGAATCCATCTCTTCTCCTCCCAGTTATGGGTGAATTAGTATCACTAAACCATTATTATCTAAAAAAAAAAACAGTCTAAAAATATTTTCTGGCTTTAAATAACCTGCAAAGGGTTGATAAGCCATAGAAAAAAAATCAAATAACTTTGAAAGCCCATCACTACTCTATTGCCATTTCCATGGTAAATGTTCAGATGAGCTCCAATCTTTCATTTCACCACTTTAGACCTTTACTGTTAACACTTATCATGATGCATTGACAGAGTTGAATCATCCACATTTCCACTGTATTCTATTAGAAGGAAAAAACACTGAAACAGCTTTTCTCCCTGAAAACTGCTACTCTGTGGAACAGACTCCTGTGTGGATGCTTCCTTGAAAACTACAATCTTTGCCTCTTCAAGTCAAGGGTCAATCAATATCTATCCTCATAATCTTCACTTCCTTCTACCCCAACTACCCCAGAGTCAGTAAATCTCTACTACATGTGGATCTTGAACCTTGTATTGGGTGAACTTTAGTTTAAATTAAAATTCAATAAAATTTTTCTAGACTTGTTGCCTCCCAAGGCTATAGGATCCAGTCTGTCCTGCTATTTTACCCATAGAAGGGAGGAGAAGAGATGGATTCATACCTTTAAGTGAATGTAATGAACTTGACTGAAATTCGAATTCAGCTCTCTGATTCTTCAATCCAATCCTCTAACCATTACTCCATCATGCCTCCAGTATTACAGATACTTTATTTATAGATATTTTATGAGTGGGTAGGGTACTGAAAAGATCTTAAGCTGATCCAGTTCACAAGATCTGATCAAATAACTAAATATGAGAATCTTTTTTATCACTTTTTTGTGAAGCCAAGAACATTTCACTGGTCCCTTGTAATAATGTTGATGAAAATACTTCTGTTGTTAAATGTTTTCAAAAAGAGTTTATACAAAATATAAAACAAAAAAGAAGACCAACACTAATTCCAAATTTGATTCTCTGCAATAAACCCTTGAACCAGAGTTCAATTTTCTCTGTTAACTACAGGCAAAAGTCTCATTTGATCTTCCCCACAATGTTCCTCCAAAAATTGTTCTCTGGTGTCCCAAATCAATGCAATTCTGAAGGAATTAGATTATGTACTCTACTACATGTTGATGCTCTTTGTAATTGGTAGGCATGGTATTAATCTTATAAGAAAATAAAATCAGATTACAAATGCTTACTTGAGCAAGTTTTGGGCGGATTGGGTACAAATTTTGGTGCTGTAGAGATTCAGTTTCAAAAGTTGTGGCAACGGACCAAGAGATTCAAATTCAGTTTCTTCAATGTTAAGACAATGTTGGAGATCCAACTCTGAAACAAAAAAGTAGAAAATATTGCAAGAAAATAAAATTCAATTTTAGCTTTTTTTTTTTTATAAATACAGTAAGAATCTGATATTCTCTGACCCAGCTATTTAATAGAAGAAATTGTTTGTTTGAATTTTAATTCTTGAAAAGAAGGTTGAATATGTCTTCAATCAAAATTGCAGAATGACTGAATAACTCAAGAACAAAAAATTAAAAAAAAAAACTCAACAGCAAATTCTCAAAAAATTATATATATATATATATATATATATATATATATATATATGAATGATAAAATATAGTTTTAAGGTATGCTATATTTATGGGTTAAAATACTCAATATCATAGGTAGAGCATATATAAATATAAAAGTGGACATTGAAGTCAACACCCAATGGCAACAGTCTGTTTCATGCTTATACGCAATTGTCAAACTGTCCTGATGACTGCATATAAGCATGAAACAAATTGTTACTGCTGTCCACTTACATATATATATATAAGTTTTTTTTTATATCCCACATGAGTAAAAAAAATATAGGAAAAAGTAGTTGAAAATGTAACTGGAATCTATCTAAGAATATTTATTTAGAATAACTTTACCAATTTCACAATTCTATGATTTTCAGTAGTTAAATTGAGATAATGAGACATGGTTATGTGATGATCAGTTTTGCATAACTGGTAAAATTACCCTGAAGTCAATATCTACAGATCAATTGATTCAAGTATGGCAAGAAGTGTAATACTGTTTTGATGCTTCTCATGCAACACATACTGATCATATTGAGTGCGTACAAGTTGAAAAAACTTAAAATAATAAGCTTTGAACCTATTCCTATACAGTAATGTGTTGAATGTGTTTCGCTCTGACCATTTGTCTTTATTCAATTTTCAAAATATGCTCTTTCCTTTTGAATAACCCCATATATATATATATATATATATATATATATAAAAGTCTAGGTAAATTATGGGGGATGCTAAGTGATGTAATTTAATGTCTAATAAACAAAATTAAGTGAATGATTTTGTTGTTGAATTTTTTATTTTTTAAAATGTGATTAATATTTATATTATTTTAGTGTGGGATTAATTTATGCATTATATATTTTAAATAAAAGGAAGTTATGTATTTAACTGTTTTTATTTAATTTTTTAACATTTTTATAGTCATGTATGTTGGCTTGGGGAAGGGAGTAATTTTTTCAGGAATGGAGATATTTGAAAAAATCCGCAGCACAGATTTATATTTTAATAAGTTTTGAGAGTGACACTCTTAAGAACTTTCTGTTTAAATAAGTTACTTTCTCTTTTAATAAATGTGACATGTTTAGAGGAAAGTTGTGTTTGAATTTATTTCTATGTATGACAAATGCATTTGATAAATTCTTGCATATAAGAACCTTTTTGTGTCCATAGATACAATTTTTTTTTAATTTATGCACATTTTTCCAGTCTAATGTGAGATGTGACAATTTATTTTATATATACCTGCTTCAGAATTATTATTGTTATGAGTATTTTTGGTTCTGATCTTTAGTTTTGAATATGATTGTAATTATTTTGATATTGTTAAGATTTATATATATGTATCAAAGTGGACATTGAAGTCAACACCCAGTGCCAACATTCTGTTTCATGATCATACATAATCATCAGGCCATATGTGTTGTGTTTTTGCTTGACTATATACACAGGTTAGTGGCATTGTGTGTAGTCTATTGTATTGTTCTAATGGATGTTTTAGTGGGTAGTAATGGTTATTTCAAAATATTCTAGGGACTATTGCATGGAAATAATTGTGGAACTGGATGCTGTTATATATATATATAGACCTTCTGGTTCCCTTAGACCAAGGCTTTATGGTCTTCCTAAAGTTCATAAGAAGGATGTTCCATTGAGACCAATACTTTCAATGATTGGTTCATCCCAACATTCTTTGGCTCAATGGCTTCTGCAGGTCATACAACAACATTTTTTGCTAAACATTGTATACCTGATTCGTTCACGTTTATTGAACGCTTACAGGCCATACAGTCTTGCCCTGATACTGATTTTATGTGTTCTTTTGATGTGTCCAGTCTGTTTACCAACGTACCATTAGAGGAAACTATTAATATCTGTGCAGACTTTTTATACGAAGGTAACATTACTCCACCTCCTTTTTCTAAGGATATATTTATAGAACTTATGATACTATGTACCAGTTCAGTGGAGTTTAGTTTTGATAATGTTATGTATAGTCAAGTGAATGGGGCCCAGATGGGCAGTCCCCTTGGCCCTGCATTGGCTGATATTTTTGTGGGCTACCACGAGATGTTACTTTTCGGCAAAGTGTCTAAACCGTTTATTTATGTCAGGTATGTCGATGACACTTTTGCAACTTTTTCTAATGAAAGTGAGGCTGTTGAGTTCTTTAATGAGCTCAACTCCTTACACAATGGTTTGTCCTTCACTATGGAAGGGGAGAAGGACAACTGTCTGCCTTTTTTGGACGTTTTTGTTGAATACAGTAGAGGTGGTTTTCTTACAAGCATCTATCGTAAACCCACCTTTACGGGTCTCTATTTGAATTGGCGTTCATTTGCTCCTGCATCAAGGAAAATTAATCTTGTTAAAACCTTGGTGTATAGAGCACTTAAAATTTGTTCTCCTATTAGATTGGACCGTGAATTTGAAAACATTAGGGAGATTTTCCTCAGTAACGGCTATCCAGAGGCCCTTATTGACTATATTATTAGTAAGAAGACTAAGAATTTCATTCCCTAAAAGTCCAGGGCCTTCTAAATGTCCGTGTATTTGAAGATTCCCTGGATTGGGGATAGGGGTCAAGGCTTAATTAAGCAGGTTAGCAAGTCGGTTTCGGTTGTTTCCCATCAGTTGCTTTACGTAGCATTTTTGAACTAGGTCTGTGTTTCCGTCTTTTTCGCAAGGATGTATTGCCCTACATCAAATTGAGTAATTTAGTATATGAGTTTAATTGCCAGTGTGCTGCTGGTTATGTGGGGCGTACAACCTTGCATCTGGAAACTAGAATCAATCAGCATGTACCCTCCAAAATACGACTTGGTAAGATAGATAAAATATGCTATCTTCCCCCCATGAATATGGAATCGGTTATTGCTCAACATTTAGCTGAGAATATAGCCTGCGCCAAGTCGTTTAAAAAAGAGTGGTTTAAAATTATTCATACAGCCGATTCCAATAATCATTTGAAGATTTTGGAATCGGTCTGCATAGGATTAAGGAAACCTTCTCTCTGCCGGCAGAAAGAATTTGTAAAGTCTCTTAATCTGTTGGGGGATATTTTATTTTAACTGTCCCTCGCTAATTTATTTACACGATTATTTCCCCTCCCCTCGTTACAAATATATACACTTGTTTGTTTTTAGTGTGTTTCCCCCCTCTTTTTGCTCTTCATTGTCGTTAATATTCTTTTTGTTGATCCAACGATTGTCTCCTGATGAGATGTTGGTTGAAAGGGCCTTAGGGACTTTTAAAATTAAAATCAATACATTCCTTGTTTTTAAAACTATATATAAATTTTGTACCTGTAAACATTTGTTTATATATATTTATATATATATATATATATATATATATATATATATATATATATCTAGGGGCTCACCTTGCAAGTTGGGGCAGTAGGTGGCTAGGAGGTGTAGGGTGTCAACAGTGACAAAGTCGCAGCAGGCAAGTTGAAGACAAACCAGATGCTCTTCTGTAGCCATAAACAAACTGAAAGAAAAGAATTTTTTTTTCATAAATATTTATTGCAATTCTCTCTCATATATATATATATATATATATATATATATATACACACACACACCAAATATAGGTATATGTATATTTATTAACATATATGTTCTCTGTCTAACCACATTGAGCACTATTATGTTTACACCTCTTGTTAAAATTTGGTAATTATTTATTTGCTTACCTGTGTATATAAGCCAGCACATGTGTATATGGTTTCTTATATTTAGTTATTTCATTTTCCTAAAACTATATATATATATATATATATATATATATATAAAATGACTGATATGAAATATCCACACAAAGTATATAAGATGGAATATGTGGTTGTTTAAAATTTTATTCTCTTTTATAACATTTCATTTAGTTGAACATTATCAAAACAACTGCAAAAACTAAGGAAATAATCATTACCTTCCTATTTAGAAATGCTTCGATTATGTTGAAAATTTTTCAAAAATTTAACAGTTAATAAAACTGAAAATATCTATGAACAAGTCATAAAGTTATAAATTTTGATTACTTCTGTAGTTTATTGTTGCTTATCGCATATAGTAACAGTATGCCTTGCAAAAAGAAATCTCCGCCATCAAAAGACTAGATTGCAATCAAAAGAGCCAAGGCTGTAGGGAAGAAAACAAAGTCCTGTGCAAATGAAAAGCCAGATCAAATGGCATCCAGGAAAACTTCTTATGTTGAGAATATGCAAAAACTTAGGGACTCTCAAACTCCTAAATAAGCCAATGGCCCAATCAAGAGCCCTTTGCAAAAGCTAACTTAAATGCAAACTGATAGCCCATAGACAAGTGCCAGATCTTCACCTTCAACCAGTGCATAGTGGGATTCTGCAACATTGGTAAAGTGAGATCTGGTCAAAATAATTTTCCAGTAACCATCACCACAATTTGGGTTTGCTTTGCCAGAGCAATTACAGTGTTTTTGAAAAAGAAAATAACTGATTCCTGTTTTACTGTAATCTGTTGAAAGGCATGTCATTCTATTGATCTTGAATGTCTTGACTCAGTCCTCAATTTTCCATATGATTACTTGCTTCGACTCCTCAAAAAGTTGGTCAATTGTTTTGTCCTAATAAAATTTTCAGTCCTTTGAGCACAATAATTCCTGGAAGGGGACCATCACCTCAGCTTGCAAGAATGCATAAGATACCTGATTCACCAGTTAAACCAGGACCTGATGCCTGTGATATTTGTAGGCACAGGAAAGTGAAGGATGGCCTCAGTCATTTTCTTCATTGGTTCCACACCATGTCCGCTGTAATATTGTCAAACTGAGGGGTATATCCATCTCCAGACACATGAAATTTCTGGGGAGCGTGAAAATATCTGTACTGGCCCCATTCAGTGATAAATCGATGGCATCTTGTGCGACAGGAGAAAGCCAGAATGATAGAGAATTGATTAAATGAGGACAACATGTGATGGGTTTCCCTTATGGAGGCAGTGTTCAATACTTATAAGTTCACCTCTAGGGAAGCCATCTTTTTTTAGAGTGACTACCATCCTTGAGAACCAGGTTGTAGGAGTACCCACTGGCACCAGTTCAATTATACCCAATGCGATGTCTCGATTGAGGTCTTCTTTCTCTCTCTTCTTCCAATGGTAAGGGACAGGGATTGATGTGTGAACTGCTGATGGCCTCACCAGGGATGAAGGTAATGTCCAATAGACTTTCTGTCATAGCGTGTAAGGGTTGGTATTAAATGCGATGAACTTGAAGTGGTCATGTATCCATCATTCCAGTAGGTGCTTGTTGGTTTCCATTGGAAGGGAGTGGATGGTACTATTCATTGCAGGAATGGGTTTTCAGCATGGGCATTTGAACAGGGCATGTCTGGCTGGGAAATCAGGTGGTAACATATGTAGGTCCGTCAGAGTAAATTCTGTTAAGTAAAAACCAGACTTGTTGTTTGACACATTCATTGGATAACATAGATTATTTTCAAGTAATACCTTAATTTGATCACAGATCCACCAGTGATTTTCATTGTATAACAGATTATTTTCAAGTCATATCTTAATTTGATCACAATCAAGAAAACCTCATCTACTCAAGTATGGAGCATCATTCAGCAAGAAATTTCCAGGATGAAACTTCACAAATTACTGATGACATGTTTGATCATTAACAATACAGCCATCAATCAAACTTTCTTTTTGATCTGAGTTGCAGTTTTATTTTTAAAATAAAAAAAAACGTAATAAGCCAAAAATATTGCTTCTTTTCAACCATTTTCCCTGTTAGAATCAATAAGTATAGAAGGGATTAATAAAAGATGCCCTCTAGAAACTAAGTAAGTATAAGAGATAATAAAATGTCCTTAGAAACAAAGACCTGGAGAACACCCACAGAACATACTGAAGGAAAAAGAAGGAGAAACTTTAACAAGTTTGAGTGAATGGATAACAGAACAAAGACAAAAACAGATTGTAGAGTAATTGGCCATTGTTAAATGTAATTGGCAGAAATGTCTAGCAAAAAGAATTGACAAAGTTTCCAACAAATAATAACAAAAGAAAGAAAAAAACAGGGCAAAATTTGATACAAAGTAAACAATATATATACAGGGTACGATGGGTAAATTGTTGGTATTTTATATTTTTAATTTCATGCATGCATGTTGATTTTTGATTTTGTCGACTCCACAGTATAGTTGGGCACCATCTTTGAGAAAAAGAGCACGATGACCCAATTCATTTCACCAGAAATTTGGAAATGGCATACTGTACTGTTTGGCATTCATGCTGGAAACTCCAATACGAACATTTCATTTTGTTTGGGTGTCAATCTGAGGACAGTGCAGAGGATTCAGAAGAAGTTGAATGAGTCTAATGGTACAAATGTATGGCAGCTCAGAGAACTCACTCTGATAATTCTAATAAGTACTCCTGAATTTGCTGGTAAGGGTCTCAGACTCAGCACAGAGGTGCTTTGAGGAGGTAGTGCTGCCCTGTGGTGGCAGCTGGAAGACCCTAAGTCTGGCAACAAGATTCTGCACCATGCCACACAAGCAGGAGAAACCAGTCATAGCTGTAAGACAATTTCTGTGACAACATTACCCCTTACATCTAGCCACTTGATGGAGTGCAGGAGAGTGATAGACCAAAAAAAATCCTTGTAACACCAAAGATGAACAAGGATTATGGTAGCACACACCAACTTAAACAAGGACACTGTCCAGAAGAGTTGCAGGAGATTCTGAAGTTGTGTGGTGGCCGCAGTTGAAGCCAATGGCAATTCTATTGAATAAATTTACTTTTTAGTATTTCATGATATTTTCGTGTAATTTTGGCAAATAGATCTGTGTTATTTTTATTTTTGTGTAATTTAGAAAATACATCCACTGCACCCTAATGTGTGTGTGTGTGTGTGTATATATATATATATATATATATATATATATGTCATAAGTTGTTATATACAAACAAACAAGTAATCATGACAAAGATGCATATTTGTTTCAATGCTTGAAACCAAGAGAGTTGGTAAATAGGCAAATGTTATTTAGGAAGACAAAGACAGCCACGAACACCAACATAATGAAAGGACATTCCACATAAAAAAAGAAGAGAAGGGATATAAGTTTTTATTTCCAATTAAAACATGACCAGCAACATGCAACAGATGGAAGGGTGACTCTCTCTCTCAATGGAGGTGGGGATTTGTGAGTGGTGTAATGGATAGTGGCTTAGAATGAGAAATTGGAGAGCCAAGTTTGAATTCCAGTCATGTTCGTTACATTTACCTAAGCACAAATACTTTTGGGAAAGGAAGAGATGGATTCATACAGTTAATATATCGGTTAAATAGTAGAACTTACATCTGGAAAAATCATTATACTTCTCAAAAAAATTGTTAATGCAATATTCACTTGCAAAAAAACACAGAATTCCTCTTCAATATCTGTCTATATTTCTGAGATGAGGTATTGTAACTATTTACACTATTTACATTGTTCAGACTGTTGTCCTCATCTTTGTTGTCATATTCAAAATGTTTCAGCCGTTGTATGCACTAGCTTTCTTCAGGTGATTGGAATATCAAACTAAACACTTTATTTCATCCACTGGGGTAGATTATTCTAGTTCCATGTGCCATGTCTCTTCTGGATATCTCAGTTTCAGTTATTTCCCTTAGTAACTCAACTCTCCAAGTTTTGTTCACTTCTGCTGTGACCAGATATTGAACTCACAACTCTTTGGGTCAAGTCACTGGATTACTTCAACCAAAGCTTTTATCCACTGGGCCATGTGTACTTGAGGACAAAATGAAAGGTTTTGTTTAAAATTCCAATCACCTGAAGGAGGCTGGAGAATATAATGGCTGAAATGTCATGAATATGAGAACAATAGTCTAAACAATATAAATAGTGTAAAGAATTGTTCTTACAATCCAGAATATGTTTCACCTTTAAATAATCCATAAAGGATTGATAAAAAACAAATCAATCAATTGATCTCTCTGAGGTTAAGGAAGCCTTTACAACCATAAAGTGATTTTGAGCATCATTGGCCCTTAAATTAAACTTAGTAAATACAAAAGATAAAGACGAAAATATAAACATACAAACCTGTGCAGTCCGGATGAAAGTACAGAACACCAAGAGATGTCCAGTTTCTGTAACATGCTACATCTGTTGGCCATATGAATCAAAGTGCTGTTATTCACCTGGTAAGAGAGGTCAACAAAACCAACAATTATTATTTGACATAATTTATTAGATAATCTGCCTCAACAAATATATTACAGTATTGCTTGATCCATGTTTAAATTATTCCTGCTACATATGGTCCATTGTCCCTGCTATTTACCTTGAGATCCTTGATAAAATCCAAAGAAAAATCTGCAGTATTACTGATCCTAATCTGGCAGTTCAGCTTCAGTCACTTTCCCACTGTTATAAGGTTTCTTCTCTGTGTCTTTTCTAAAAATACTTTCATGGTAATTGTTTATATGAGCTTCTTCACTATGGTACCTAGACTTTTTGAATTTAAGCACAGTACTAAACTGGTGTTGAGATCTCATCAATTTACAGTTGAGCTGACTAGATATAACTGTAAATTCTATACTAACAGTTTCTTTTCATGCTTTCAAACCAACTTTAATCTGCAAAAATTTAAGTGCAATGTCAATTGCTATCTACTGTCCACCTGATTACTCTTTCCTCTTCCCACTCATTATAAATATTTCTGTTCTTAATTCTTCCCCACTCTGTAACTCCTTGTGTCTTAGTGGCTTTACTGCCTAGCATGGGACAAAACTGATTAATATATACATATGTGTGTGTGTGTGTTGTGTGTGTCAATGTCTGGATGGTGTAATGGTTCTTGGCACAGGAAATGAAACCTCCATGCTGTGTTCAAAATTTGATCAATTCTGTTTGTTCACTTTGTGCTAATATTCTTGGAAAAGGGCTTATACTGAAAACACCAATTTTGTCCTATAACCAAAGCTAAGCATTATAAAGCCTAGTCAGTACTTAAATGGAGGGTATTTAATAACACCAGATTCTGTAAGTGACCCCTTACAATCTGAAAATGTTTCAGATTTAAATAACCCATGAAGTGTTGATAATCCGTAAAAAAAATACTGGAAAAATGCATGAATTCATATTCCACCAACTTTGGATAAAATAACAGGGCAAACTTGACACTCTTGCCTTGGGTGGGGCCCAGTCTAGGAGAATTCAAACCTGAGGTGAGCTGTTTGGAAAGTTCATGGTATACTGTGAACCATTTCTTTGTTATCAGTTTTCCAAAAGTGTAGCTGGTTCTACACAAGACTTCACTACAATAAACAAATTATCAGTATGAGAGGTCTAGTGGCTCAGATCTAAGACTGAAATATTGGGCCCTCCCACACTGAAATTGATCGGCAAGTTCACTATATATATATATATATATATATATATATATATATATATATATATATATATATATGAAAGATAAAAAAGAAAACTTGTCTGAACTGACATGTTTTGTCCTCTGATGGACTTATTCAAGGCAAATGTAAAGATTTTATTTTGCAAAAAGTATTTATACACAGAGGTAAAAATGTTGTTAGTTTTTCAGAATTTAAAAATTTAAAAATGCTTATAAATATACATCAGGCTAATTGAAAGTCAAGGTAAATTATGGAAGATGCCAAGTGATGTAATTTAATGTCTAATAAATGAAAGTGAACAAATGTTGTTGTTATATATATATATATATATATATATAACAACAACATTTGTTCCAAAAAAAATTTCGCTTGAAGATGGAACAGAGCTTATTTTAACTCAATTTAATTTAAATAATTTAAATAATTATATTGAAGTTTTCGGCTCTTGTTTTGAAACATGAGACTTCTTATGTCGCGATTTGGAATCATATTTTTAAATAAATAATTATATATATATATATGTATATTTACACACACACACATTATATATATATATATATATATATATATATAGTTATGAAGAACTTGGTAATCCATATGGGTAATCCCAAGGAGGATAAAATCCTGAGAGCTCAATGTAAATCCAGAGCTAATATTTAAAAAAGAAAAACCGACCACTTCAAGGTACCATTATAATAATTTATTTCACCAGAGTGGTCAGTTTTTTTTTAAATATATATATATATATATATATATATATATATATATATATATATATATTACAAAATGAATTAAAGCCAACCTATTTTTTATTTATTTTGCTTAAATGTTATTTTTTGATGGATACTCATAGAGAAGTTTATTTTTAAACACTATTTTTTATCCAACTTCATCTACTGGCCTGAATATTCAAGAAATCTTGCCAGAAAAGGATGTATATTTTTCTGATCAGATTTCTCGAATCCATCAAAAATAATATGCTTGGAAACGTGATCTGAGGAACCAGGAAAAATCACTTTCCTGAGGAAATAAAATATATTCAATGGACCCTTAAGGTTGTGTTGGGGCCACCGACCTTCTCATCAGAATGGACTGATCTCTCTACTACTAATAGGACAGTTCTATAGAGTTCTGGAGAGATCAGGTGACTATCACACTTCCGTCTCTCTACCGGAAGATACAGTTGGACTTTATACTCTTTCTGATTGTTACTGACTAACCTGCGTTCGTTTGACTACTAATCTCTCTGTTGTAAATACCTCTTCAGGTATACCAGTATTTTTCCCTATGTATGTGTTTGTCCTTATTTCAATACACACATGGGAAAACACTCAACATCTCAACAGGTTGTCTGTTTTTTTCACTTATATATATACATATATATGCAAGATTCTTTGGTAAATCGAATCGAGTTCTCTCAGTCACTGTGTGTTTATCTAAAAATAAATATTCTTAAATTCACCTTCATCCCTGCCGTGCGCCAACAGCTTAGTGGTAGAATCCCTGATTGATGTCAATTCAGTCAGGTTTCAATCCTAGCTAGAAGCAACCGGATGTCTAACCACACTGATGAGCTGTGATACAGCGAAACAGTCTGTCTATATATATATATATGATAAAAATATAGTTTTATGGTATACTATATTTATGGGTTGGTTCTCAATATCAGAGATAGAGAAAATAGCTGTAATTGCCTTAGCAGACCAACACAAATTGCTAAATAAATGATCAGAACTCATCTCAAAATGCAGACACAAAAACAAATGTTACTTAAAAATTGAAAACTATAAACAAAAAAAAATAATTCAAATAAATAAATAAAGTAAATAATAAACAACAAACTATGAATGCACACATAAATGCAAGCAACCATAATATTAACAATCAACAAAAAATCAAAATTAATCAATAGTAGATAATGAGTAAGAAAAGTTAACAAATAACACAATAAAATAAACCACAAAATTGTATTTGGATCTATACTTATTTTTACTCAGTAGCCCTTAGAATAATCTGAAAATAACCATTACCACATACTGAATAATTGTTAGAATAATATGGTAACTGTAGTGCCTAAGTAGCACTAAAATAATGCAACGTTAACCACCATATATATAAATAGTCAAGCCAAAACACAGTACACATGGCCTCATCCTCACTGAAACATCAAGAGCAGCTTCTTTGATCAGAAATTCATCCTCATCTGAACATTAAGAGCAACTTCTTGAGGACATCCTGGGGCCCAAATGTCAGAGTTCCCTTTTGAAGAGGCATTGGCCAAATGGAAAGGGGTCAAGCAAAGGAAACTGTATAAAATAAAGTAAAAATAATCATTGACAAATGCTATTGAGGTTATTTATATTAATCTGCTCATAATATACCACAAGCATACCTGCATCATTTGATCTTTCACAACAACCTTTCCACTATTTTAAAGTTTCATCGTTGTACTAAATATTTCATTGTGATTGACTGGGTTAATTTTCTCATCAATTAAAATCAAATTTGATTTAGTTGATTATTTTCTGACTAAAAGATCTTGGTGACAGTTTGTAGATTCTGTCAAATCAGTGCTGTAATTATTAATTTATTTTAGTGCTACTTAGGCACTATTATCACCATTTTATTGTTATTTGTGCAATGTTTTGTTCACATGTAGGATACTCACAACAATTTAATTTGATCATTTATTTTGGTGGTTTTTATGTTGTTACAGAAAAAATAAATTTGAATTTTGTATTTGAAAGTTGGAAGCAAGACTAATTAATTAGTCCCAGATTTCTAAGCTGATTCAAGGGAGATTACTTAAATATTTGAAAGAAAAGTTTGCTTCATCTGATTCGCTTTTTATAAGAAACCAACATCAATATATCTAATTTATTATTTAAAAAAAACAAAAAAAACACAACTTTTTTTCTATCAATTTAAAAAATCATTTGTTCTGAAAAAAAATTATAGTTTCTAACTTAACTGTGATTAAGTTTAAATCCTTTTTTGTTTTGAATTTATTGATTTAATTTTTTAAGAATATTTGGAACAATTAAAATTGTTTTTCAGGTTGATGGTAAAATAACTTAATCAGTAACTCTGCAGTTTAATAATACAATTTATTAAAAAACTTTAGTTGGGAGCCACTGAAATCACTACCTGTAGATCCCAAGGTTTCACTACATTAAAAAACCTATCAGCATTGCTATATATATATATATATATATATATATATATATATATATATATATATATAAAATATATACATAATAGCCTACATTGACAGTACAACTCGGAGTGTTGGCATGGGGCATTATGTATATTTATTAATATATACTTAATATCTCTGTTATTTAGCATTGAGCATTATTTTTCACACCAAAGGATATATATATATATATATATATATATATTAAAAGAAAGAAAGGTGCATAAACGTTTTTTTTGTAATGTGGATTTATTTAGAAAAAATATTATGCTTTGTTTTACATAATTTTACTACTAAAATTATGTAAAACAAAGTAATAATATTTTATTAAAATTATGTAAAACAAAGCATAATATTTTTTCTAAATAAATCCACATTACAACCAAAAAAACGTTTATGCACTCTCTTTCTTTTTTTTTAATATACATACTTTTCTCTCGTTGGAACCACTCCAACATATTTTATATTATATATATATATATATATATATATATATATATATATATATATATATATATATATATATATAGATAGATAGATAATATTAGTGGTTAATATACACATACATATATGTACGTATATCTAAAAA